ACTAATAATAGGAGGAGGAGGAGGAGGAAAAGGAGGACAAGGAGTGGGAGGAGGAGGGGGAGGAGGAGGGGGAGGAGGAGGAGGAGGAAAAGGTGGAGGAGGAGGAGGAGGAGGAGGAGGAGGGGGAAAAGGACCAGTGTAAACCCAAAGAATCATCAACGATGTTCGAAGTAACCCTTCTTTTAAGCTCCCTCTTCATAGGCCCCTACAACGGCTTGTTCCCATTGAGGGAACTGCCTCGTTGGAAGACAACCGTTTGAAGACTCTGAAACATGCCGAAGCATTGCTCTCGGGATTTCAACGGCACGGATCAACCTGGCTGCTGCTTCTTGACGATCCGGAATCGTGGTATAACGCTATTTTTGGGATTTCAACACCGCGAACCAACATAACTTTTGCACCCGCATGCTCATGAATCCTTCCAACACACTGTTTCTGGTACGTTGGTCATGGGAACCCGTGAGTGTCATTCACAGTTTTACATCGAATGTGCGCGGCGCTAAGGCGAGAGCCACAGTTTGAAAAGGAACCGCCCTCAATTCGTGAGTTGTTTTGCAAATGGTTAGAACTAGTGTGCGAGGCGCTAGTGCGAGAGCCACATTCTGAAAACCACCCGCCCTCAATGCGTGAAGCGTTTGCAAATATTAAACGAATGTGCGCGGCGCTAAGCCGAACCAGCCACATTTTGAAAACGACCCGCCCTCAATACGTGAAGCTTCTGCAAATGTTTAAAACGAATGTGCGCTGCGCTAAAAGAGAGCCACATTTGGAAAACCACCCGCCCTCAATATGTGAAGCTCTTGCAAGTTGTTAAAACATGCGCGCGGCGCTAAGGCGAGAGTCACATGTTGAAAACCACCCGCCCTGCATCCTGGAGTTGGTTGCCAGTTTCTTAACCTCAGAATCATATGGTGAGGAAGTCTCAAGCGAAACTCCCAGTCCGCCCTAAACTTTGGCTTCTGGTTGCGACACGGGGGAGTGCTTTAAATGGAAACGGAATGGAGGAGGAGGAGGACGAGGAGGAGGAGGAAGAGGAGGAGGAGGAAAAGGAGGAGGTGAAGGAGGAAGAGGAGGAGGACGAGGAGGACGAGGAAAAGGAGGAGGAGGAGAAGAGGAGGAGGAGGAGGAGGAGGAGGAGGAGAAGAACAGGAGGGGGAGGACGGAGGAGGAGGAGGAGGAGGAAGAGGAGGAGGCGGAGGAGGAGGACGACGAGGGGAGGAGGGCGGGAGGAGGAGGTGGGAGGAGGAGAGGAAGGAGGAGGAGAGGCGGAGGAGGAGGAGGAGGAGGAGGAGGAGGAGGAGGAAAGGAGCTGAAGGAAGGAGGTGAGCAAGAGTTCCGGATTTGACTTGTCAGTAGAGGGACTTTGCGCGCCGAGCTTGTTTGGAATCCAATCGTTTTTTTTCGTATTTCGTTTTTGTTGTTTTTTTGTGATGTTTTTGTGTGCTGATTTTTTGTTGATGTGTTGATGTGTGTTTTTTTTTTTGTTTTTTGTTTTTGTTTTAATGTTCTGTCTGAGGCTTCGGAGAGCGGATGGTTCACAACCCACCTTGAACTCCGCATCACCATCCTTTTTGTCATTCTTCCTGTGCGCCTCTTTCCCTAAACAGCGAGCTGGATGGCTGAGGGCCAGGGCTCTACTTTCGTCCCCCCTGGCTGCTGTTTAGGGTCTCCTTGCCTGGCTCAAGGCTCAGGTCCGAGGGCTCAGAGGTCCGAGGGTCTTGCGGGCAGGGAAACAGCGCCTCGCTGTGCGTCTGGCCCCCCCCCCTTCCTCGTTGCCACGGCTGGACGCTGCGCGAAAAACTGGGCCGCGCCATGGCGGGATGTCCGGGGCCATTTCCTGTCGTTTAGGTCTCATGTGGCTTGGAGGTGCGTAGTATGTCTGCCATTCAGCACGCATCTTCTCCGTAGCCACGTCGGCCTAACCAGCTGTCATACTTCCGTGAAACTTACATTCCTTCTCCATTCATTTATTGTTTCCGAGTGCGTGCCGCAGATGCGCGGCTTGCCTCAACGATGGCTTTGTTCCCTTCCGAGGCCGAGGCCAAGTCATGGACGACGATTTCGCAGGTGACCCGGTTCGTTCGCGTCCCAGAGCCCGTCTTCAACGCTGTGGCGGCGCACTTGGGGCAGTTCCAGGATCGCATCCGTCTGCTGTCTATCATTCCCCAAGTGATGTTGCATTGCGCAATCTTGGCCACTCAGGTGCCGGTGGAGGGCTCAGCCACAGAAGGAGAACAAACCATGCGCGGCATCAACCCGCTCGAGGCAAGCCAGGTGGGCCTAGTCTGGCGCATCAGCCGGCGCATCTCTTGGGTGGCCAGCGGCAGTGGGTGGGAAGATTTCGTTGACGTCGATCCCTTCGTTGCCCCGCAGGTTTCCTCGGCGCCGGTTGTGTCCTTCCCGGATGCCCGCGTCCCTGCTGGGTCTGCGACCAAGGGCAGGGTCGTCAAGTTGGCGCTGGTGCTCGACCAGGGTGACGACGGCGAAGTCAAGGTCGCAGAGAACGACCAGTATGAAAAGGTGGTTCAGCAACTACCAGATGCAAGTGCTGGCTGTGCCGCCGGATGACGCGGAACCGTCCATCGAGCAGCTCACGGCGTTGCAACACAGGGTCAAGGATCGCGGCTGCTCCCCGTGCGCGGACTTCGCTGTTTGGCGGCATTTTCCCTCGGCAGGGCGCGCGGGCGGACAAATTCCGCGCGTGGTTCCCCACGGGCGGCGGCTCCTACACGGCCAAGGAGCTCCCGGGGCCAGAGAACCTTCAGCAGTGGGAGTCCTCGTGGAGAGTGTTCGCGGCAGCGCGCCTCATGATCATGCCTGTGACCCGCCCAGCGCTCGAGTTGTGCGCGGAGAAGATCCGCCAGCTCGTGCAGCTCTGGCCAGAGTGTTGGCATTTGATCGTCATGGCAGACGACCAGATGCGCGCCGAACACCTGCACCGTGTTTGGCGCAAGTACGAAACCGAACTCCAGGCGGGCCAGACACCGGCGCCGGACTGGGACAGCGAGAGGCCGTGATCCACGATCTACCGCCTCGCTGCCGCGGACGAGGCCTTCTCGGACTCCCGCGTGCGGCGCCGCGCTGCTGCGTGGGTGTCCCGCGGCGGCCGCGGCGTCCTCCGCGCGACCGAGGAGGAGGCCGCGGTGGCCCACCTGCCGGGCGGCCTCGCGGCCGTGGCGCCACCGACAGAGCAGCCCACCAAGCGTCGCAAGACCAAGGCGGAGAAGAAGGCCGCCCGCAGGGGGCAGCCCCAGCAGCAGCCGTCGGGAAACGGTGGCCCCCCGCCGGCGGCGCCCCGCGCCTCGGCGGGGGGGCCGCGCACAACCGAGATCCAGATCTGCAAGAACTGGAACCACGGCAACCCCAAGAACGAGTGCGGCAAGCTGGGGGCCCCCTCCACTTGCCCGCAGGGCCGGGTGCGCAAGTGCAGCACGTGCGGGGGCCCCTCGCACAAGGCGCCGCACTGCCGGCGCCGCTGAGCCAGTCGCCCTGCGCCCCTGGCGCTGCTGTTGAGGCCCCCAGCGGCGTCCCCATCCGCGTGGGCCTTTGGGGCAGCGCCCTGGTCCGGCAGCTGCCCGGCCACGCCGGCGCTCCAGCCGGGCACCCAGCTGCCCCTCCGCGTCTCGCAGAGCTCGCGCGCCCAGCGCCGGCCGCCGCGGCCCCCGCCTCGCAGCGAGCCCGCCGCGAGCTCGAAAACGCATTGTGCGTCGGCGGCCTGCGCTGCGCTGCTGCCGCGGTGGCCCGGTTGCCGCGCCTGTGCGCGCTGGGCAAGGAAGTGGCTGCTCTCTACGATCGATGGATCTCGGAGCGGCCAGGCGCCTTCGCCGTTGTCCAGCATTTCGGCGACAGGACATACGCTGGCCCAGAGCGCGAGCTCGTCGAAAAGTGGCTGCGGCTGCGGGGGCACCTCGGCGCCCGCGCGGAGGCGCCGGCGGAACCCGAGTGGGGGATGCCGTCTCCGCTGCAGGCCGAGCTCCTGCACTCGCGGTTGCAAGCAGGCGGCGACCCGGAGACTTGCCTGCGCGACTGGTGCCGGACAGGCGCGCCGCTTGGCGTGGATGCGCCCATTCCCTTTTGCGGCATCTTCCCGGTCCTGCCGCAGTCAGACATCGAGCGCCACGACGGTGGCTTGGACATGGGCTTGGCGCAAGGCGTGTTCAACTATCAGTCAATGGCCGACGACCCAGAGGCTGCTGCTTCCGAAGTGCACCGCTACTTCGCCAATGATTTCGCAGTCTCAATCACGGAGTCCACGGCCTTGCAGAGGTTCCCGGGTGGATCGGTCTCCAAGATGGCGCTGCTGACCAGGGTCAAGCCAGGCGCGACAGTCAAGCGGCGCATCATTGTTGATTTGAAACGGAGCAAGCCCGTTCCTGTCAACAGCCGTGCCCGGGTGCCAGAGCGGCCAGTGCTCCCGCGAATCTGCGACGTCATCCAGGATGCCCGGGCTCTCGCTTGCGGCGCGGCGCCGTCCATGCACGGCGACGAGAGCTGCGACATGGAGTTCGCGATCGCAGACTTCTCCGACGCGTGCGTGCACCTGCGGACTCACCCGGATGAGCTACGCCACTGCCTGTCGCCAGACGTGGTGCCCGGGCGTATGTTGTTGTGGATAACGTTGTGTTTCGGCTTATCTGGTGCCCCGCTCATCTGGTGCCGCGTGGCCGCCGCCCTCGCGAGGCTCGCGCAGTCCTGCGTCAACCAGAGCCACGCCCGCATGCAGCTGTACCTGGGCGCTGGGCGACCCTATCTGGACGCTCTGGGGCACGCGCGCGCAGCGCGACCGGCAGCTCGGTCTCGCGCTGTGGGTCCTCATCGGCCTCGGTGTCCGTGTCGCGTGGCACAGGGCCGTCCGCGGGCCCGCAGTTGCGTGGATCGGCGCGACAATCGCTGCCGATGTTGCGCCCCGCGAGATGACCGTCGCTATCCCCGCCAGCACGATTGAAGAGCCGCTGGCGCTGCTCGGCCGGCTGGGCAACGGCGCCATGATAAGCCTCAGGGTGCTCAAGCAATGCACTGGGGAACATTCCTGGGTCGCCGGGCTGCTGCCGCGCATTCGCTGGGCCGTTGCCATCCTGTGCGCGGTCGCTGCGTTGGCAGAGAGGGATTTCCGCTCGGGCGCGGAGGGCCGCAGGCGGCAGCAGAGGGGGGGCCCGCGCCCGAAGTGCGGCATGGTCGCGGCCAAGCGTGTTGCATTGCCCGTGCGGTGGCTCACGGCCCTGTGGCGAGGCATGGAGGGGCCTGTGACCAGGCGAATCGCGTGGGACAGCAACCCGCCAGCTACAGTCATCATCGTCGACGCTTCCCCGTGGGGCCTCGGGTTGATATCGGCCCACGCAGCCACTGGCAGGGTCGTGGAGTATGCCTTCGGCGACGTGCTCGACGACATCTCGCTGCTCCTCATCCGGCGGGGGTGCTCCAGCGCCCAGCAGGCCTTGGAAGCGTTGGCGCTTCTGGTGGCGCTGAAACTGTGGGGCCGCTTGCTGCGCGCATCGTCGGCTACAGTTGACATGCGGGGGGGCAATTCCGCGGCCCTTGCCCTGGCGCGGATATTGTCCAGTTCTTCGCCAGTCATGAACTTCGTCGGGGCCGAGCTGGCGCTGGAGCTGGAGTCCCTGGACATCCGCGACTTGTGCCTGACGCGCATCCCAGGCGACTGGAATCGCACGGCCGATTGGCTGTCGCGGATGTCGGCCCCGGGGCGCCTGCCCGATGCGCCCGCAGCGCTGGCTGGCGCCGAGTGCCGGCGTTTGCCGCCACGCGGCCGCTCCTACTACCGCTTGCCCCCCCCGGGGGTCGAGCCAGGTTCGTGGGCAACCCAGGCTGGCGCCGAAGCATGGGCGCCCGCGTCGGCGCGCCTGTGAAACCAGGTCGCCGCTTTCCCCGGGCGCGCCCAAGGCGGCCCGGTGCCCCATATGCGCGCAGGACTGAAGTCAAGGCAAGACGAAGAAATGTGTCAGCATCTCTGCCTTCCTGCTTGGTTTGCAACCACGCCCGGCCCGCCGGCCCCCCCCGAGAAGCATTCGTTTTTGTTTTTTTGGTTCCCCATATCCTAAGATGGGGTTATTATTATTACTTGGACGCCTCCTGGTCTTCTTGCTTCCTCGGCCCTTGCGAATAGATGCACATATGGGGCGCTCTCGGTGTGTGTATTTCATTCTGTGCCCCAGCGCCCTCCCACCCGGTCCTTCCCCGCCACACCACCCACCCCCCCCACCCCCCCCCCCCCCCCCCCCCCCCCCCCCCCCCCCCCCCCACCCCCCCCCCCCCCCCACCCCTACCCCCCCCCCACCCCCCCTCCCCCCCTCCCCCCCCTGCCATTCTTAACCGTTGCTATTGGCTCATATTGAAGGGATGAGCCATTCCGACAATCACCCGGCCCGAGCCCCCCCTGCTGCCGAGCGGCCTCGCTTCGCGCATGGGCGCCCGGGCGCGCCGCCCGCGCCTTTCGCGGCGCAGTGGCGTAATTTGCGGGCGGGCGTGCCGGCCGCGGGTTTCGCCCCCAGCGCCGCGGTGGCCCCGTGCCTCGGGCCCGGCGCTTCCGCGAGCAGCTCCGTGCCCAGGTTCGTGCCGCTCCTGCAGCCCCGCGCGGCCCTGACCCCGTGCCTCCTGCCCCGCGTTTCCGCGAGCAGCTCCGCGCCAGGTTTCGCGCCGCTCCTGCAGCCGCGCGCGGCTCTGGCTCTCCCGCAGCGGCACGCCGGCGGCGTGGTGCAGGGCCCCCCTGGTTTGCCATTGCCGCGCCCCGCCGGGATTTCCGGAGTCGCGCCCGTTTCCACGGCGCCGCTCCGCAGGCAGGATTTCCCGCGGATGCCGCCTGCAGTGCCGTTGAGGGGATCCATCCACGAAGCCGCTGCGATCGTGTCAGACCGATCGCGCCTCGAGGCCGCAGTGGACGCTTTAAGACTGGATTTTTTACGCCAGCCCTTCCCGCGAAACTGTATCCAAGAAGAGGGCAGCAGTCTGCAGACTGGCTGAACGAGCGGCCCTGTCAGTGCCGGGCTCAACCGACCCCTTTCCGTTGCAGGTCTCGGTAGTGCACGCGGTGGCTGCAGCCCTCTAGCTGGCAGGCTTCCGTTCCGCTGAGCAGTGCGTGAGCGAACTGAGACTCGAGCGCATCGAGCGCGGGGCGCTCGTTTCGGAGCAGTTGGCGCGGGCGTTCGACCAGTGCAAGAGGTCGCTGCGCCGCGGCGTTGGCCCGAAGACGAAGGCCGCGGAGCTGCGGGACGACGCACTTCGCGCAATTGTCCTCCTGCAGGCGTCGAGAGGCACTGGGAACCATGACTTGGCGTCGCCTTGGTCGTCTTGGGTGGTCGCTTGCCGTTTCCTGCTGCGGGAAATTGAGATGGCGTCTGCCCGGCTCGCGCACGTGGACTTCCCATCGCCTGACTGCGCGCGCATGCGACTGCCTGTTTCCAAGACAGACACTTGGGGAGCGGGCGCAGCTGTTACTCTGAAGTGCACCTGTCCCCTTGGTGGTTTCGATCGCGATTCGTGCCCTGTGCACGTCTTGAGTGACCATGTGGATATGCGCCGCCGCCAATCCGGCACGCGCGCAGGTGACCCCGGCGAGCTGGAGGAAACTTTGTTCCCGAATGTCGCGGGCGGCACGGTGTCCAAAACCGCGGTCATCTGCGGATGGCAGCGCCTTGCAGTGGACGGACACCCGGCGCTCGGCGGCCATTCCGCGAGACGGTCGGGCGCCGAGCGTTACGCCCGCTCTCTTTGGCCGCTGTCCAGTATTCAGACTGTGGGCCGGTGGGCGCCCAGCACGGTTCTGGAGTACGTCGAGGAAGCTCTCGCGGAGTTACCGCTTGACGGGCAGGGTCGTGCATCTGGTCATCCCGCAGCGCCGCCGCCACATGGGCAGCTCGAGCCGCTAGAGCAGCGCATTGCCAAGTTGGAGGCGTCATTCCAGTCGCTCGCGCAAGGGCGTGGGCTCTCCGACGCACGGCTGCCGGAGGTCATTGTTCAGCGTTTCCCACAGAATGGCGCCGTTGGGTTCGGTCTGAGTCTTCGGGGATCGTCCACGCCGTGGCGAGCCCGCCAGACACACCTTTGCCGACGTGGCGCACTTGCTGCGGATGGCGGTTTGGGGCGTTAGCGAGCCTGTCGACCTTCCTCGCCGATGCCCCCTCGCCCAGCGAGGCCAATCTCTGTCGGAAGTGCCCATCGCCCGATCAATTTAGGGTGTCCGGAGCCGCGGCGGAGCCAGTGGGGTGAGGGTGCGCCTCCGGAGAGGGACGGTTGCCTGCGCCTGCCCTAGGTCGTCTCGCCTCCACGAGGTTGATGATTCGGGCCCCACGGGGCTAGGTCATCTCCGCCTCCACGAGGCCGGTGATTCGAGCCCCCCTAGGTTTAGGTCGCCGTCGCCTCCGCGAGGCTGATGATTCGAGCCCCACGGGCTTGGGTCATTTGCGCCTCCACGAGGCCGATGATTCGGGCCCCATGGGCCTAGGTCATTTCCGCCTCCACGAGGCTGATGGTTCGGGCCCCGCGGGCCTAGGTCACCCCCGCCCCCACGGGGTTGATGATTCGAGCCCCCCGGGCTTAGGTCATCCTCGCGTCCACGAGGCCGGTGATTCGAGCCCCCCGGGCTTAGGTCACCCTCGCCTCCACGAGGCCGATGATTCGGGCCCCCCGGGCCTAGGTCATCTCCGCCTCCACGAGGCTGATGATTCGAGCCCCACAGGCTTAAGTCATCTCCGCGTCCACGAGGCTCACGATTCGGACCCCCAGGGGCAGGGTCGTCCCGGCGCGGCATCGACGTAGACTGCGCTTCCACTCGGGACGACGTGCAGAGAGTTGGCGCATTTTAGTTTTTAAGCAATACTCAAAAAATTTTGCGCCGCCTCCTGGCCCTCTACTCTATCTTCTCTCTCTCTCTCTCTCTCTCTCTCTCTCTCTCTCTCTCTCTCTCTCTCTCTCTCTCTCTCTCTCTCTCTCTCTCTCTCTCTCTCTCGCTCTCTCTGGGTGGCAGGGGGGGGTAGCAATGAGCGAGTGCATTGTCCGGATTTGACTTGTCAGTAGAGGACATTGTGCGCGAGCTTGATGCTCGGAAGGCAGGTGGTTCACAACCCGCCTTGGACTCCGCATCACCATCCTTTCTGTCATTCTTCCTGTGCGCCTCTTTCCCTAAACAGCGAGCTGGAGGGCAGAGGGCCAGGGCTCTACTTTCGCCCCCCCTGGCTGCTGTTTAGGGTCTCCTTGCAAGGCTCAAGGCTCAGGTCCGAGGGCTCAGAGGTCCGAGGGTCCTGCGGGCAGGGAAACAGCGCCTCGCTGTGCGTCTGGCCCCCCCTGCCTCGTTGCCACGGCTGGACGCCGCGCGAAAAACTGGGCCGCGCCATGGCGGGATGTCCGGGGCCATTTCCTGTTGTTTAGGTCTCATGTGGCTTGGAGGTCCATAGTATGTCTGCCATTCAGCACGCATCTTCTCCGTAGCCATGTCGGCCTAACCAGCTGTCATACTTCCGTGAATCTCCCGCCCGCCCTCGCCAAGAGAGGGCGGTGGTGTGTGGGGGGGGGGGGGGGGGGGGGGCGCCTCCAGAGAGGGGCGGTTGCCTGCGCCTGCCCTAGGTCGTCTCGCCTCCACGAGGTTGATGATTCGGGCCCCGCGGGCCTAGGTCATCTCCGCCTCCGCGAGGCCGGTGATTCGAGCCCCCATAGGTTTAGGTCGCCGTCGCCTCCACGAGGCTGATGATTCGAGCCCCACGGGCTTGGGTCATTTGCGCCTCCACGAGGCCGATGATTCGGGCCCCGTGGGCCCAGGTCATTTCCGCCTCCACGATGCTGATGGTTCGGGCCCCGCGGGCCTTGGTCATCCCCGCCCCCGCGGGGTTGATGATTCGAGCCCCCCGGGCTTAGGTCATCCTCGCCTCCACGAGGCCGGTGATTCGAGCCCCCTGGGCCTTGGTCGCCCTCGCCTCCACGAGGCTCACGATTCGGGCCCCCCGGGCCTAAATCATTTTCGCCTCCACGAGGCTGATGATTCGGCCCCCCCGGG